CCCAGGCACCTCTATTTATTTTCAGAGAGAGAGAATGAGTAACTGACTGAGCCCTTTATTTAATGTTTTTTGAAGACCTTTCCACTAGTACATAAACAAGTTTCTCTCTTTTTTTAAAATGTTTATTTATTTTTGAGACAGAGAGAGAGTGGGGGAGGGACAGAGAGAGAGGGAGACAGAGGATCCAAAGCACAGAGCCTGATGCGGGATTGGAACTTATGAACCACAAGATGATGACCTGAGCCGAAGTCAGATGCCTAACCAACTGAGCGACCAGGTGCCCCAGAACTTTCTCTTTTTCACAACTCCATATTATTCCACTGTGTCTATGTACCAGTCTTTACTTACCAGTACTACATTGGAATAATATATACCTCAACCTGTGTCAGATTTTTCAGTCAGCACTGTTTTTAACATTTATCTATATTGCTATTATACATCTGATTCATCATATGTAACCACTGCATAGCACCAGATTTTACTTGCATTGTCCTTTTCTCCATGATGAATACCTAAATTTCCTGCACCATCTTGCTACTACAAACAATGAAAAAAAAATACCCTCATACCTGTCCTTTTAAGAAACAATGTGAGGGTTTCTCTGGAATAAACACATAGGAAGGATGGCTTATGGCTTATAAGTTATATGTTTGTTTCTAGTTCATTTGACCAAATATTATAAGATTACTTTCCAGAATGTCCACATCGGTCCACATGCCCAGAAGCAGCACACGAGGGACTCCTATATTTGTACTTCCCTACCATCACTTAACATTTATACTCATATTTTATATTTCTGGCAATGATGGGAGAAAATGACATCTTTCTTCAATTTATTGGTGCAGATTTTGGGGATTCAGTAGTTCACTGAGGAGTAAAAAAGTCACAAGATCTTGCAGGCCAGTGTTGTGATTTCTTTAGCAATTTATTTTCTTCAGAAAGTTAATAGCTTTCCAGATTACTTATTTCTATTTGATTCCATGGTTAGTAACTATAGCCAGAGATCTTGGACCAGAGATTTGGTCATAAATAGGCTTGAAAACTCTCCTCTTTGGGGCGCCTGGATGGCGCAGTCGGTTAAGCGTCCGACTTCAGCCAGGTCACGATCTCGCGGTCCGTGGGTTCGAGCCCCGCGTCAGGCTCTGGGCTGATGGCTCAGAGCCTGGAGCCTGTTTCCGATTCTGTGTCTCCCTCTCTCTCTGCCCCTCCCCCGTTCATGCTCTGTCTCTCTCTGTCCCAAAAATAAATAAACGTTGAAAAAAAATTAAAAAAAAAAAAAAAAAGAAAACTCTCCTCTTTTATTATGGTATCTGTGTTCAGCCTCTTTTCTCTCCAATTTATGGCAGTTATCTAATGGCCATGCGAAACAATAAGCTCAAAGGTAACACACTGAATTTGATACTTACCATTGGGACAGATCTCAACAGATATCAAGAGAAGCTCTTGAGAAAGCCTCGAGGTCAGTCTTACCTGCTGCTGTTTAGATATGGCAGTAATTGGCTTTTCAAACCTTGAAGATTTAACATTACTGATTATTGGTAAATTTAGATTGTAGGCTACATTCAGGTGAAAGGAGGTAGAAAGAGAAAACCTTCCTCTCTGCAAACTGGTTAACTGACAAGAAGTCCCTGGTACACACCAACATTTCTTTTTCCAGGCTCAGTAAACACCTGGTCTGCCTTCCAAAGTATTCCAGATGACAGGTTTACCAAATATGTCACAAGGTCTGACAAGAGTCAACAGCTTTCCAACACGTTATATCTCTGCTTTTTTCGGATGACAACCTGATCTCTAAATGATTCAAACATATGTCAGGTTTTGGATATCTTGCTTCTAGGTACCAAAATCTGTATTAGTTATGATGCATCTTTCAAAGGCTGTAACAAGGCCCAAATATAACAGTGGCTTTATACATGATGGAGGTTTACTTCCCTTTCACATAACAAGGGCAGTTCAGGCTTACTATGGCAGCTCCACAAAGTCGGGGCTTTCTCTTATCTTGCTGGTCTACCTTACTCAACACAGAGCCTCTATCTCTGGGTCCAAAGTGACTACTCCAGCTTCCACCATCATGCTTTCCTCTCTGACAACAGAAGAAGAATACAGGTGGTAGACATGCCCGTTCCTTTTAAGGTCATGATCCAATAGTGCTACACATTGCTTCTACTTCTATCTTATCGATGGACACTTAGTCACATAGCCACACTGAGATGCACAGGAGCCTGGGAAATGTAATCTTTAACTGACAGCTACCTGCCCAAGTAAAAACCTATCACTCTAAGAAAAATGGGAGAACACATAACTGGAGAGAAGTAGTAGTCTCTGTCACTGGCCACTTTTCTATTGGACTCTTATCTTTTCTGTTGGTTTTTTTAGTCTATTCTAGAGGGTTTCCTGTTCTATTCTTATCGATTTGCACAAATACCATTTCTACTGAAGAAATTGTCTCTTATGGTTTTTGTTTTTGCAAATATCTTCTCCCAATCTGATATTTGTCTATTAATTTTATATTTTCCATTGATGTTTACAAATAGATTTGCTTTTGCCGCATTTCATTTATTTCTTTTAGGAATTTGCAAAAAATGGTAAGAACTAGACCACAGATTCTAATTTTTTCAAATTTCTCTCCATAGATTTATGGCATCCTTCAGTTTTCAAAAAAAAATCTTTCATTTTTATTTAGCTAAATCCATCATTTTTTTTCCTTTAGGATTTATATAGCTAATGTGAGTACATTAGCTACTTGCCTACATATGATAATAGTAATTTTCATTAGCCTTATATATATTATATATGTCACATAGATGCATATATATAATAATGAAATACATGCACATATACATATACTTGTATATTTATAAAATAAGGAATGAGGTTGAATGTATACATTATAAATCATGCAAAAATGTAATTGTATTTTCTATAACTGATCCTACTGGGCTTTCATTTCTCCATCCCTGCTTAACAAGAAAGAAAAAAGCTTCAACTTGCTTATTCACAGTGAATTACATTTAGAGTT